TCTTTTTGCATCTACAATAATATACCTTTGGAATGTAAAAGTAATTTCCTTTTTCTGGACCCCTCAGAGTATAGGCACAGCACCAGAGGGGAGACCACAGATTCCCTCATTGTTATTGTTATGATAGCTGTTGACTGTTAACTATCCTGTATTCACCTGTGTAAAAGGAGTCTGTGTCTATCATTTTACTTTCTGTCCAATCCCAGAGGCTTCCCCCACTTGCTTTCTTTTACCTCGCTATCTATTACCAGTGGATTTCATATAACTCACTTATGTCCTCTCTTGATTGTAATGTATAAAATAAGGTGCACATAACTGCCATTCTCTGGAGCATTTTCGCAATCCAGTGAGATTTTGTTTCCCAATAATTGTCGACAGTTTGGCTCAAATAAAGGCACAAAAATTCTCTACAGTTTTTTATTGTTTCTTATGTTGACATAACCCAGAGAAAGAAAATATGTAATATTTTTATGACTTAAAAATTTTAGCACCTTCTTTCAAAAAGACCTTTGAAAGAGGGAAGACCAAAACACTGATTAGGAATAGAATTTTTGGAGCAGAGAGAAAACTTTAGTAGAATCTCATATTATAAATAAGGAAGCTATTTTAATTCTTTGCTAAAGGTTTGTTCTGTTTGGTACCTTGAGTAGAAACACAGATAGGGAACCAAACCTTTTATCTCTTTTCTTCCTTAACATGCTACCTGGACCGACCCTCCCTCCCTCCCTCCCTTCCTTCTATCCTTCCTTTTTAAATTCTCACTCTAGGATATATTTTTATTGATTTTAGGGAGGGGGGGAAGAGAAAGAGCAATCAGCTGCTCCCCTCATCCCTGAACTGACCTGACTAAATCATGTATTTGGCTATAGGGAAAAGAATAGTTTAAAATGAGTAAGTATAAAAGATATTGGTGATTTTTATATGAACATAACCTACGAAAAGTATGTTTTGTCTTCTCTAGGGTTTTCTTGACATTATTTAAAATATGGAAAGAATATAATAGGGAAGATGAATGATTTGCAGTAATTAATATAAACTAAGTATTCTAGCAGATGGTCAGATAACTTCTAGCATTATTTTAAATTCTTTTAATGAGGCTATAGTTAGCAGTTGTGTCAAACTTCCAATTCACTAGTTGGCAGTGCTGAGCCTAGAGCCTGAAAATGCAGTAGTTTTAATTCTGTGGGTCAGGGGAGTTGTTCTAAGGTAGGATGCACTGAAGTAATTGGGCTTTATTTTCTCATATTGTTATAATGTGTCAGCGAGATAACCAGAGACGCACAGACAAATTGTAAAGGAGTGCTTTATTCTCGCCAGCAGACTGTGGAGTGCACAGTCTCCCCTCAGATCAGCAGCAATGATTCTTCTTGCTCATCTGATTTTAGAAACAGAAGCCCATCCTCCCTTTTGCCCCCTCCCTTGGAGGACCTGTATAATAGTGGGCGTGGCAGCGATTACCGAATTCAAAATTAGCATTATTCACTGGGCTCAGGAATACCTGCAAATGTCTGCAATTACCGGTACTGGGAAACTGCAAATGCCTCCCAGCACGTGGGGCAACTATAATCTTAGGCAAAATTCCTTTACTTCTAGGAGTAATTAACCTATTATTGGAAAAATATTGAGGAAAGGCCATTGATGATAAAAATGGAGTTATTTAGTCGCCTTAGCCAAGAGGTTTACATAAGCATGGAATCTAGTCGCCTTAGCCTTGGGGCCCGGGTCAATATAAAGTGAATTAATTTTGGTTAAGTTTACTTTTTATTGCCATAATTTTTCTTTGATTGATGTGCAACAATTAATCTTTGTTTATATAGAAATATCATGGGAACCCAGTCAACTGCTCTTTAGAACTAAAAAGTTTCAACCGTAGATTTATTTTTCTTTTGAGATCTTTAGAAAAAATCTGATGGGTTGTGTCATTTGGAGTTCTGAAATATGGGGAATACTCTTAATCAGTCAGCACAGGCTTACACTATAGTCTGTGGCGAGGTATACATAGTATAGAACTCATGGTTTTTGTTGTTGAGTTTACAGAGCACTTGGTATAAGACATGCTTTGTGAAGCTTCTGTGTCTTCTTCCCTCCTTGCTCAGTTTAGATTTAGTGGTTCATCTTGTAGTTACTCCATTGCAAACATCCTTTAATTTCCTTGCTTCTGTATTTTTTGTTTTACTAAGTTGGCAAAATTTAACACTGATTAAATCCAACTTGGCCACCAACTTGTTTGTTGTACCTCAGAGCTGAACATGGGTGGAGAAAAATGGAGATAACCTTGCCGACTGGTCTCATTTTAAGCATATACAGTAATCTCAATTTCAAATGTACACTCTCTATACTGTCAATAGTTCTGCAATTCCCTAATATGTCTACCTTGAATACCAGTTTTTCAAACCTTTTTCTCTTTCCTTACAGCTCCAATTTAAACCTCCCTTTCCCTGTCTTCCTTTACCTTCTTCTTTTAGACCTTGTCTTTATTGAGAAAATGAAAGATATCACAGGACAGTTTTTTCTTCTTTCTATCACTAAATTAATTAGCCTACCTGTATCTGTACCTACTCTGCTACTTTTCTTATTAAAATAAATAAAGCATCTCTATTTCTGGCAAAATCCAATTTCATGATTTAAAAAAAAATGTTTTTATTGATTTCAGAGAGAGGAAAGGACAGGGAGGGAGGGAGGGAGAGAGAGAAAGAAAAACAGTCATCAGTTGTTGTTCCCACCCATTCCTCAACCTGGATCCAACCTGCAGCCTGGGCATGTGCCCTGACTGGGAATCTAACTGGTGACCTTTCAGTGCACTGGATGGTGCTCAACCAACAGAGCCTCAATGGACAGGGCCAAAATCCACTTTCTATACTTATGTCCTGGATTTCATTTCCTCTCATCTCCTGAAAATATTGCCCCTACAGTTATTGTTTCTCTCCTATGTTACCATGTTCTTCCTCTCTGCTGGATTATTGACATCAGCACTCCAATATGCTGTACTGTGTGTCCATCTTAAACTACTCTTTGATGTCATGTGTCCCTTCAGCTGCTGAACTATGTTTGCTTCTCAGACAGCATAAGTTTAAAGAGTTGTTGGTAGTCTCTGTCTCTATTTCCTCATCTTCCGTTGTTCTTGCCTCAATACATTTCTCCCCTAACACCACAGAGCCTCGTATCTGAGTCCATCTCTGAACCTCTTTCCTCTTAATCTCTCCATCACCAGCTTCCCACCACATCAATTTCTTTTACTTTCAAATGCCAAGCTCATTTCTGACAAGGGTCTGGAAAGCTCTTAAAATGAACATTTACATTTCAAAGAAGCCTGCCTTGATACTGTGTAAAAATCACTCCTTTCTTCAGTTAATACTCTCCCTTTAACCTTTTTTGGGTATTCTTTATAAAACAACACTGTCTGAATTATTTCATTTATTTTTCTTGTCTATCCCTTCTAGAATATAAACTGTATGGAAAGAGCTTTTGTGCCTGTACCTGAAACTTGTTAACATGAAGTAGATGGGCAATAAATACTTTTAAAATAATTTTTCCCTTTTTTAAAAAAATTCTCATCCAAGGATTTTTGAAAATTGGTTTTAGAGAGGATGGGAGAGGGAGAGAGAGAGGGAGAGGGAGAGGGAGAGGGAGAGGGAGAGAGAGAGAAAGAGAAACATTGATGTGAGGGAGAAACATTGATTAGTTGCCTTCTGTAAGTACCCTATCTGGGGATTGAACCTGTAACCTGGGTATGTGCACTAACAGGGAATTGAACCTTTCATTGTATGGAATGATGCCCCAACCAACTGAGCCACCCACACCTGCCAGGGTAGCAGTATATAATTTTTAAATAGATGAGTAAAGTTGGCTGTTAGAGCTGGTTTTTAATGGACTCTTCCAAGTTGAAATTCCTTGAGCAAAGAATCTCATTACTACATTTATGCCCTCATAGTTTATTGAAGAAAAGACAGTTAATGTCCATTGAAATTGAGCAAACCTGGTTGCAATAGATTTTATTTTCCTAGTTTATCTAGGAAGATTTTAGTGCATTGTTCAGATATACATAACTACTTAGCCATTTCTTCTTTTCAGTTTGGCTTTGTAGACTTTTTAGGTCAGGGTGATTGAAAAGAGATGCTCAGGGTTTCTAGCTCAGTGCGGTTTTTTTTTTTTTTTGAAACCATTTTGTCATTGGTTCTCACTTAACTATGTAATTGCTAAGATAATGAATTTCCTGCTCTTTCTTAAACATACTTTTTATTAATTTTTAGAGAGGAAGGGAGAGAGAAATAGAAACATTGATGTGAGATACATCAATTGGTTGCCTGCTGCGTGCCCCCTACTGGGAATTGAGCCTGCAACCCAGGCATGTGCCCTGACAGGGAATTGAACCGGGACTTCTCAGTCCATGGGACAATGCTCAGTCCACTGAGCTACACCAACCAGGCACCTACCTGCTCTGTTTTTCTGTGGCCAGATTCCACTGTTTTTTGTGTTTCTGCCATCTTGCTTGATCTTTTATATACAATACTTTGTCTTTTTTGCCTGTGTGTTTCTTTCTAGAATGATGTTAACGTTTTTCACATTCAAAGTGCTCCAACCTGAATAAGCATCCCTGGGCTTAGCTTGAAACTTAGTATTTTTTTTTTTTTTTTTTATCCTCACTCGAGGACATTTTTCCATTTTTTGTTCAGATAGAGCGGGAGGGAGAGAGAGGAAGAGAGAGAGAGAGAAACATCGATGTGAAGGGACACATCGAGTGGCTGCTACCCGCACGACCAACCAGGGCCAGGGACAAACTGCAACCGAGGTATGTGCCCTTAGCGGGAACTGAACCCGGGTCTCTCTATACCGCAGGCCGACGCTCCAACCGCTGAGCCAAACCGGCCAGGGCGAAACTTAGTATTTTTGATGACTAGTTCTTACCTTTTTCAGTCTGGTTCTTCCAGTGTTGATTGTGACTCTCACCACATCATACTTTTTTTGTTTTAATCCTCACTTGAGGATATTTTGTCCATTTATCTTCAGATAGAGTGGAAGAGAGAAAGAGAAAGAGAAAGAGAAAGAAAGAGAAAGAAACGTCGATGTGAGAGAGACTGGCTGCTCCCGTACTATCCCAACCACAGCCAGGGACTGAACTGTAACTGAGGTACATGCCCTTGACTGAAATTGAACTCATGACTATTTGGTCTGTGGGTGGACGCTCTAACCAGCCAGGGCTCTCCACATCATGCTTTTAAACCCTCAACTTAAAATTCTTCATTTTTTGCTCTTCAAAACATGACAGATTCTGATACTACCTTCAGTGAAAGACTTAGCTACTCCATCTCTTTTTCCTGCCCTTCTGTATATTTTGCTGACCTATGGTTATGCTTCTGTAAGGAGAAACCTATTTTATTTAATGCTGACTAAAAAATGGCATGATGTTTGGTAGCTTTATCTCTCAGAAAATAGGAGACAGCTTTCATTGTCACCATCTCCCAAGATGTGGCAAAGGAATAAACAATATCCATGGCTCAAAATAAAATTTAGACAATGCAACAATAGCCACATTTTGCATATAAGAGTCTTTTTATGTATTATTTTGATTGGATAATTATTACTTATAATCTATAATTCTGATAAATTATAGTATGTTTAAGAAAGAGGGAAAGTAGTTACATTCATTCAATAAATATTGAATGTACTTTCTTCAAGGTACTGAACTAGGTGATGTAAAGAAGAAAATACAGATTGTCAGACTTGCTTTTTGGTCTGAGAGTTGAGAGGTGGACGGGCTGGGCATTGTGAGAGGCAGGCAAACTATGAAGGTCAATATATTGAGACAGTGATGTTGCAAAATGAAGTCACGCACTTGTGAGTGTGGGGATGAAAAGCATTCTAGGAACGTAGAGCGACCTTTTTCCCACCATCTCACTAAAGTAGTTTGGGAAGGTTTCACAAAGGAGTCAGCTTTTGAGGGTAGAATCCTGATGGAGAAGTAGAAATTTTCCAGGTGGGCAAGTGGGGAAGCCTTTTCATGAAATAGCATGTGCAGAGAGATGTGACATGAGCACATAGTATGTTCAGGGAAGTACCACCAGTTCATTATGTTACAGGAGTATAAAGTAAGCGGAGGAATGAGGAATGGTAAGGCTGGGCCCACATCATGGGATCTGGTTATGAAGGAGCTTGTTTGCCTTTAGATCTGAAGGGATTTAGTTTGAACTTAGCCAGTGATATGAAAATACTGAAGAATTTTTATTAGGAGTGTATTTTGGAAGGATTGCTCTTGCAGCAGCATGGTGGCTGGATTTGGAGGAAGAGGGTAAGGGAAGATCCCAGTTAGGAGGCTCAGGGGCCTGCACAACCAACCCTTTACACTGTGGCAGGTTCTATTATGGAAATGTGACCAAGGCACACCAAAGGGATAATAACTTATTCTCTGAATGATTGGGGTGGACCATGGAAAATTTCATAGAGGAGGTGGTTTTTATTTATCACATTAAATGGAAATTATGTTGGATAACATTGTAGCACAATAAAGATCTGAATTTTATTCAGAAGGGACAGAGAAATGCTAGATACCTCTTTTAATTCTAGAACGCAAGAAAAATTTAGTTTAAAGAGTAACTCAACCTTTGGAGTGACAGTATGACAAAGCTTTTTTGGAGACTGTACCAAATTATTTGAAGAAATAGTGCAAATGAAAGAATTTAAGTGGATGTTTTGGTACAACTTATAGAAAAGATAAAGGTAACCCCAACATGGATGCTTTACCTTGGTTAACAGACAAGTCCACCTTTTGGCTATGGGAAGCCAACCTAAGGCTTAGCTCTTGTTAACTGTCTCCCAGGCTGTGTTTGTCAAAGAGATACTCTGTCATGTCAGATTCTGGGGTTCCTATGTTACACAAGTTGGTTATGTGGTCGCCCGATTCTTTGATAGATTTCACCTGCTCATTTAGGTAGTGAGTCTCAATGAAATCACACAAGTGAGGGTTTTTGTCAGTGGCTAGTTTGTGCAGTTCCAGTAGTGGCTGAATTATGCTTTTTTCCAAGTGTAACACTATTGCACTTAGCTAGCTCTCCCTGTCATCATGGTTTGGTTTCTTCTTTTTTTGGGAGGAGGGTTAATCCTCACCCAAGGATATTTTTTCTATTGATTTTTAGAGAGAGTAGAACGGAGGGAAGAAGGGGAGGGGGTGAGAGAGAGAGAGAGAGAGAGAGAAACAAACATCAATTGGTTGCCTTCCACATGCACCCCAGCCAGGGCCAGGGATTGAATTTGCAACCCAGGTATGTGTCCTTGACTGGGAATCTAACCTGAGACCCTTTGGCCAACTCTAAACACTGAGCCACACGGGCCAGGGCATGGTTTGGTTTTTTGATATCCTGAAGAATTCAGGATTTGGCTTCCTCACTGGTTCTGCAGATTCATTAGTTTGTCAGCGTGTTCTTTTTCTTCATGAGATTGGTGAAGAAAATATTTTATTTGGCACAATTCTTCAAAGCCACACCATCAGGGTCAAAGTAGTGAGACATGAGCAGGTTAAGGAGGCAAAGAGTTCTAGGTTGATCTGGGGGTTGATCTGAGGGTTGATCTTCAAATCCTGATGGCAGTCCTAGTGCATCTGCAAGGGGGACGCCGTGATCTCTGTGAGCACCTGAGGAGGAGGGGTCATCTGTAGGTACTGTGAGGCAGTGGCTGACAGCCTGCTGGGTGGGGACAAGCTCTGGGTACTTCCAAGCACTGTCAAAGCAGGAGACTGCATGACTCTTGTTGAAGAATATCTGTCCCAGCATAACTTGACAGCATTTCAAAGAACTTGACATGTGCATTTTTTGCCTCAGGTCCAACCTAGGAGGTTGGAAACAGCTAGACTTCAGCTTTAACCTGTGAAGCTGGAAACAATTTTGACTTAAAGATTACATGAGTGTGTGAAGTATGCAAAGCTTAGTAACTGTGGAAAGCTTAGCCTGCTTTAAATGGGGAAAAGGATCATGTGCTGTGCTGAAAAGAAAGCTGGGCTTTGGAACTGAATCTTGTTTCGACAGTTACTCTGAGTCTTCAGGCAGAATGGGTAGCTTCTTTGAGCCTCAGTTTCTTCAGTTCTAAAAGTATGAAAAATATTTACTTTCTAGGGTTGTTGTGAAAATTAAGTGAAATAAAGACACTGAAAATATCCAGCAAATAGTAGGTTCATAATTCCTGCTATGTTACATCTTTCCACTTGAACATTTTCATAGTTGTATAAGGAAAGCATTTTGACTAATGGTTTATCTCATACCCAAATTTCTGCACCCCTCAATGTGGAATCCTCTATTCATTCAGTATACTGTTCCCTGTGAGAAAATGTAGCAAGGAAATGTTTGAAACATTTATTCTGAAAACTACCCCGCTGCCCCATTTTGAGAACACACAGATAGATATCCATCAATATGCCCCTGAAATAGGCCAAGTTGTTCTGTAGTCTGCACAGAGCACTTTCGCCATTATTATTTGATCCCTCGTTCATTCTTTAGTATAATTTTGTCATGGTTTCTGTACTCCTTCCTTCCTTCCTTCCTTCCTTCCTTCCTTCCTTCCTTCCTTCCTTCCTTCCTTCCTTCCTTCCTTCCTCTCCCTCCCTCTCTCTCTCTCTCTTTCTATTTACTTATTTATTTATTTATTTACTTTTATCCTCACCCAAAGGACATTTTTTCCACTTTTTGTTCAGATAGAGTGGGAGGGAGAGAGAGGAAGAGAGAGACAGAAACATCGATGTGAAAGGGACACGTCGAGTGGCTGCCACCTGCACGACCCAACCAGAGCCGGGGACAAACTGCAACCGAGGTACGTTCCCTTAGCAGGAACTGAACCCGGATCTCTCTGGACCGCAGGCCGACGCTCTAACCGCTGAGCAAACCGGCCTCTGTTACTGTTTGTCCCCGGCCCTGGTCAGGTCATGTGGGAGGCAGCCAGTCAATGTGTCTCTCTCATGTTGATGTTTCTCTCTCTCCCCACCCTCCCACTCTATCGGATGATAAATAGAAAAAATATCCTCAGGTGAAGATGTAAAAAAATAAATACATAAGAAAAAAAAATGAATTATCTTTAACTTTAATTTTCCTACACCTAATCGCTTAAAATGTTTTAATTAAAAATTTTATTATGGAAAGTTTTTACACATTTACAAAAGTGGGGAATGGTTTAATGAACTCCCATGTACCCATCTCCCAGCTTTAACAATGATCAACTCATGACTAATCTTTTCATCTATACCTGTGGATTGTTTTGAAACATATCATAGGTGCCATCATTTCATTCATAAATATTTTAGTACCTACAAAAGATAAGGGCTAGTTTACATTTTAGAATCTTTATCACCTGTGTTATCTACAATAACTATCTGATTATACTGCTATACCTTTATTTTATTTATTGATTTTAGAGAGGGAGTAAGGGACAGGGAGAGAGAAACATCGATGAGAAAAAACACTGATTGGCCGCCTCCTGCATGCCCCCCACTGGGGATGGGACATGTGCCCTGACCTGGAATTGAACCAATGACCTCTTGGTGCATGGTTCAATGCTCAACCAATGAGCCACATAGGTCAGGCTACTGCTATACCTTTAAATTAGAGTTTAATACAAACCTTTGAAGCAAGTTTTTTTTTTTTTTCCTTCCTTTCCTGACTTAATTGGCTGTTTAATTTCAAAACATATCTATACTGTTTGCAAATATTCTTTATGAATTTTCAGTTGCAAGTAATTATTTAATTAGCAACATCTTTAACAAAACACATTTCTTAGTCTACTTTGTTAAATTTTTATTATCTTAGTAGTACATGAATACATTCTTATTGGAAAGAATTGAACAATGTAGAAATACATATTGTATCTTCTTTTAAAAGCATAAATGAAATCACATATGTATTGTAATGCAACTTGCTATTCGTTTTTGTTTTTTTTATCCTCACCTAAGGACATTTTTCCATTTTTTTTTTCAGATAGAGTGGGAGAGAGAGAGAGAGAGAGAGAGAGAGAAACATCAATGTTAAAGGGACACATCAAGTGGTTGCCACCTGCACGACCCAGCCAGGGCCGGGGACAAACTGCAACCGAGGTACATGCCCTTAGCAGGAACCGAACCCAGATCTCTCTGGACCGCGGGCCGATGCTTTAACC